TGGCTCTGTATGGCACTGTGAGGCTCTGTGTGGCTCTGTGTGGTACTATGAGGCACTGTGTGGCACTGTGAGGTTCTGTGTGGCACTGTGAGGTTCTGTGTAGCACTCTGAGGTTCTGTGAGGGTCTGTGTGGCTCTGTGAGGCTCTGTGAGGCACTGTGAGGTTCTGTGAGGCACTGTGAGGTTCTGTGTGGCACTGTGAGGCACTGTGAGGTTCTGTGAGGCACTGTGTGGCACTGTGAGGTTCTGTGAGGCACTGTATGGCACTGTGAAGCAAACTCAGCATTCACAGACTTCACCCTTCTCACAGCAGGCATGCCACTGAACCACCCACTCCACACCTGTGCTGACCAGCGAGGGTGGCCGCGCTGTCATAACAGCCCCTGACAAGGAAGCTTCGGCCAAACAGGGCTCTAGACCCCTCACCACTGTTCACGCCATGTGATCCTCATGAGCTCCCTAAGTGTTCTGCGTTTTTAACTAACTCTGCCCGTGTGTGTGTGTGTGTGTGTGTGTGTGTGCCTGCCTTTCTTTCTCTCCCTCTCTCTGTGTCTGTCTGCCCGTCTCTCTCTGCCTGTGTTTCTCTCTGCCTGTGTCTCTCCATGTGTCTGCCTACCCACCTCTCTTAGTATATGTGTCTGTCAGTCTCTCTGTGCCTGTGTGTCTGTCTTTCTACCTGACTCTCTCATATGTGTGTCTGTCTGCCTGCCTTTCATTCTCTCCTTTTCTGTGTATGTTTGTCTCTCTCTGCCTGTGTGTGTGTCTGTCTCTGTGGTGTGCATCTGTCTGTGTATGCGTGTACGCGCATGTGCGTGGGCGCATCTACCTTATTTCCTGTGGCGGTGTCCACCAGGAAGCCCAGCACCTGGAGAACCATGCTGCCCACGGCCCCCACGGGACTACAGCTCTGGCTCATGTGTTTTAGTGCCGCCTGGGGTGACTCCACACTCCGGCTTGCACACTCTGATGTTGGCAAAGAATCCAGAGGGTGGAAAAGGGCCTGGTCTGGCTGGGCGAGAAACTGGTCATCCGACAGCAAGTCTTGGAGACTCCCCAGGTCCTCCTCTTCCTCCTCTTCCTCTATGCATGATTCCAGGATGTGAATCACATACTCCAACAGTAGCAAGTGGAACAGATGCCAGGCACCTGCATTTCAACGACAGGAGAGATGAGCACATAGGACAGAGGGCAGATAAACAGCAGACAGGCGGCAGGCAGGCAGCAGACAGACAGGCATAAGTCAGTCACTAGGAAACATGGCTTTTAACTCCCTGCTTCCAGAGGATCGACTGAATGGCTGGGGGATTGGTGGGAAGGTGCTTTTCTCATTTGCAGTGGTCCACGCTGGGGAACCCTGCTGGCCAGTCCTCACACAGGGCCAAAACTAGAGCCGACTCCAGAAGGAAGAAGTGAGACAGAGAAAAGCACACGGTATGAGGGAGGGCTGCTGTCCCTTCTGCTCTTCCAGAGAGGGCTGCCCTTGACGTTTACCTGAGACACAGACCGGGAGACTGGCCTGTGCCATCTTTAAAGATGCTTTTTAAACAAAGGCAGAGCTGTGGCTCATCTGGGGTTTATTTAAGTTGTTAACAGGGCAGTGGCAGAGGGAGGGAGGGAGATGGTGCCGAAGGATGGAGGACAATAAGAACTACTAAGCACAGGGCGGCAGTGGGGCCTGGCAATAGGCATTTCACTAGATGCAGGTGTGATCTGTCCACTGGGCAGTGAGCGGTCAGTTTTGTATGAAGGCACCAGCAAAGTGTGCTTGTGTGAGCAGGGAAGTATTTGGGTTTCCCGTTGGCTGCAGTTTACAGACTTGTAAAATAATGGAAGTATATTCCACGAGTGTGGACTCCATCTTCTTTTTTAGATTTAAGTTTACTTTTTAAATTTATTCACTTTACATTCCCATCATAGGCCCCTCCCTTGCCTCCTCCCAGTCCCACCCTTCCTCTCTCCTTCTTCCTCTGTATCCCCCTCCCCTAGTCCTCAGAAAGGGAAGCCCTTCTCCCCCGCCATCTGATCCCAGCCTATCAAGTCTCCACAGGACTGGCTGCATCGTCTTCCTGTATGTCCTGGCAAAGTGATTGAAGAGCAGGCAACAGAGTCCATGCCAGAGACAGCCCCTGCTCCCCTTACTAGAGAACCCACACAGAGACTGAGCTGCTTGGGCTACATCTGAGCAGGGGGTCTAAGTCCTCTCCATGCATGGTCCTTGGTTGATGCATCATTCTCTGCAGTCTTCTGTGGGCCCAGATTTGTTGGCTGTGTTGGTCTTCTTGTGGGGCTCTTGTCCCCTCCAGGTCTTTCTATATACCCTTTCTTCCATAAGACTGCCTGTGCTCTGCCCAAAGTTTTGCTGTGAGTTTCAGCATCAGCTTTGATCCCCTGCTGGGTGGAGTCTTTTCAGAGGACAATTATGGTGCTGCTCTCTCTTCAACCACTTTCAATGTCTATTCTATTTGCCCTTCTGAATGAGAATTAAGCCTCTTCCCTAGGGTCCTCCCTGTTACTTAGCTTCTGTAGGTCTGTGGATTGTAGTATGGTTATCCTGTATTATATAGCTAATATCCCCTTATAACTGAGCACATACCATGTGTGTCTTTCTGTGTCTGGATTACCTCACTCAGGATGATCCTTTTTAAGATCCATCCATTTGCCTGCAAATTTCATGATGTCCTTGTTTTTAATAGCTGAGTGGTATTCCATTGTATAAATGTACCACACATTCTGTATCCATTCTTCAGTTGAGGGACATCTAGGTTGTTTCCAGTTTCTGGCTATTAGGAATAAAGCTGCTATGAACATAATTGAGCAAATGTCCTTGTCGAATGGTGGGACATCTTTTAGGTATATGCCCAGAAGTGGTATAGCTGGGTCTTGAGGTAGAGCTGTTCTCAATTTTCTGAGAAAGTGCCAGACTGATTTCCAAAGTGGCTGTACAAGTTTGCACTCCAACCAGCAGTGGAGGAGGGTTCCCCTTTCTCATATGCTATCACTTGAATTTTTGATCTTAGCCATTCTGATTAGTGTAAGATGGGTTGTCAGAGTCATTTTGATTTGCATTTCCCTGATGACTAAGGACATTGATCATTTCTTTAAGTGCTTATCGGCCATTTGAAGAATTTAGCTTGGTAGCACATTTTAAAAAACTGGATTCTTTGATTTGTTGGTGCTTAATTTCTTGAGTTCTTTATATAGTTTAGATATTAGCCCTCTATCAGATATAGGGTTGGTGAATATCTTTTCCCAGTCTGTAGGCTTTTTTGTTATGATGACAGTGTTCTTTGCTTTACAGAAGCTTTTTAGTTTCATGAGGTCCCATTTATTGATTGTTGATCTTAGAGCCTGAGCTGTTGGTGTTCTGTTTAGGAAGTTGTCTCCTGTGACAATTGAGTTCTAGGCTCTTCCCCACTTTTTCTTCTGATTTTATGTTGAGGTCTTTGATCCACTTAGACTTTAGTTTTGTACTGGGTGAAAAATATGGATCTATTTGCATTTTCTACATGTAGACATCCAGGTAGACCAGCACCATTTGTTAAAGATGCTCTTTTTCCACTGTGTGGTTTTGGCTTCTTTGTCAAAAATCAGGTGTCCATAACTGTGTGGGCTTATTTCTGGGTCTTCCATTTGATTCCATTGATCCACCATTCTGGTTCTATGCCAGTACCATGCAGTTTTTATTACTGTTGCTCTATAGTACTTGAGATCTGGGGTGGAGATACCTCCAGAAGGTCTTTTATTGTACAGGATTGTTTTAGCTATTCTGCGTTTTTTGTTTCTCCATATGAAATCGAGAATTGTTCTTTCAAGGTCTGTAAAGAATTGTGTTGGTATTTTGATGGGAATTGCATTGAATCTGTAGATTGCTTTGGTAAGATGACCATTTTCACTATGTTAATTCTACCGGTCCATGAGCATGGGAGATCTTTCCAGCTTCTAATACCTTCTTCAATTTCTGTCTTCAGAGACTTGAATTTTTTTTTTTTAATACAAATCTTTCATTTGGTTGGTTAGAGTTAAAACCAGATACATTATAGAGTTTTTTTTTGTGGCTATTGTGAAGGGTGCTATTTCCCTAGTTTCTTTCTCAGCCCATTTGTCTTTTGTATACAGGAGGGCTACTGATTTCTGTTGTTGTTGTTGTTGTTTGTTTTATATTTATTTTATTTAGTTAATTTTGTATCCGGCCACTTTGCTGAAGGTGTTTATCAGTTGAAGGAGTTCTCTGGTAGAATTTTTGGGGTCACTCACGTACACTATCATATCATCTGCAAATAGTGATACTTTGACTACTTCCTTTCTGATTTGTTTTCCCTTGATCTCCTTTAGTTTCTTATTGCTCTAGCTAGGACTTCAAGTACTATGTTGAAGAGATATGGAGAGAGTGGGCAACCTTCCATTGTCCCTGATTTCAGTGTACTTGATGTAAGTTTCTCTCTGTTTAGTTTGATGTTGGCTATAGACTTGCTGTATATTCCCCTTACTATGTTTAGGTATGTGCCTTGTATCCCTGATCTCTCCAGGACTTTTAACATGAACGGGTGTTGGACTTTACAAAATGCTTTTTTGGCATCTAAGGAGATGATCATGTGGGTTTTTTCTTTCAGTTTGTTTATATAGTGGATCACATTGATGGATTTCTGTAGACTGACTCACTCCTGCATACCTGGGATATAGCCTTGGTCATGGTGGATGATACTTTGATGTGTTCTTAGATTTGGTTTGCAGAAATTTTATTGAGTACTTTTATATCAATGTTAATAAGAGAAACTGGTCTAAAATCTCTTTCTGTGTTGTGTCTTTGTGTGGTTTAGGTATCAAAATGACTGGTCACATAGAATGAGTTTGGTAATGTTTCTTCTGTTTCTATTTTGTGGAATAATTTGAAGAGTATTGGTATTAGCTCTTCTTTGAAGGTCTGGTAGAATTTTGTGCTGAAACCATCTGGTCCTGGGCTTTTTGGGGAGACTTTTGATGACCGCTTCTATTTCCTTAGGACTATTTAATTTGTTTACCTGATCTTGATTCAACTTTGGTAAGTGGAACTGATCAAGAAAATTGTCCATTTCATTTAGATTTTCAAATTTTGTGGTGTATAGGCTTTTGAAGTAGGACATAATTATTCTTTCGATTTCCTCAGTGTCTGTTGTTATATCTCCCTTTTCATTTGTTGATTTGGACAGTTTCTCTCTGCCTTTTAGTTAGTTTGGCTAAGGGTTTGTCTATTTTGTTGATTTTTTTTTCAAAGAACCTGCTCTTGGTCTCATCGATTCTTTGAATTGTTCTCTGTTTCTGGTTTATTGATTTCAGCCCTGTGTTTCATTATTATTGGGTGTGTCTGCTTTTTTTTTTATTTCAAGAGCTTTCAGGTGTGCCATTAAGTTGCTTGTATGAAATGTCTCCAATCTCTTTATGAAGGTACTTAGCACTATGAGCTTTTCACTTAGCACTGCTTTCATTGTGTCCCATAAGTTTGGGTATGTTGTGCCTTCATTTTCCTTTAAATTTAGGAGTCTTTAATTTCTTTTTTTATTTCTTCCCTGACCCAGCTATCATTCACTAGAGAACTGTTCGGTTTTCATGCATGTGTAGGCATTTTGCGATTTCTGTTGTTATTGAGGTCCAGCTTTAGTTCATGGTGGTCTGATAAGATACAAGGGATTATTTCATTTTTTTTTTAAAAATGTATTGAAGCTTGCTTTGAACTATATGGTCAATTTTGGAGAAGGTTCCGTGAGGTGCTGAAAAGAAGGTACATTCTTTTGTGTTTGGGTGAAAAGTTCTGTAGATGTCTGTTAGGTCCACTTGATTCATGGCATCTGTTAGTGTCGTTATTTCTCTGTTCACTTTCTGTTTTGTTGACCTTTCCTTTGGTGAGAGTGAGTTGTTAAAGTCTCCCACTATTAATGTGTGATTTAAGCTTTAGTAATGTTTCTTTTACAAGTGTTTCTTTTGTATTTGGGGCACAGATGTTCAGTATTGAGATCTTGGTGGAATTTTCCTTTGATGAGTATGAAGTGTCCTTCCTCAGCTCTTTTTATTAATTTTGTTTGGAAGTCTGTTTTATTAGATATTAGACATTAGAAATGACTACTCCAGCTTGCTTCTTGGGTCCATTTGCTCGGAAAACCTTTTTCCAGCCCCAGAACTCCATCTTCTTAAAGCTTCTATCAAGTGATGTTTTTGTTCATTTCAAAGCTCCCACAATTTTCCCTATCCACTGTTCACCGATCCTTGTTGGATGCAGGGTGATGGACTCTGCCTGTGAGAGAGCTGACTGACTAAAGGTGGTCAACACCCAGCCTGCTAAACCTTGTGAACAGGATGAGGAGAAGTGCTGGTGTGAATGACTGAGTGATGTGCATGGAGGAAAGACAGGGAGAGGGAACGAAACCCTCAGAACTGGACGCTCATCTGTGGTCACGCATGGCCTTGCTCTACTTGTTTGCTTGGGACGGGTGTTAGCATGAAGTTTGGACCTCGTTAGAAGGGAGTGCCTCACTAAAAATGGTGTCGCCCGCATGGCTATTTCTGGCAGCAGTCCTCCAAAGAGCTACAGGGGGTTTGCAAACTGATCCAGAATAAGGCTTGCCTTCCCCCTGCTCTGTCTACGTGCAGTGAGGGCACTGGGCAGTTTTCAGGGCAAAGCTGACTCAGCCTGCCTGCTGCGTAGACTATAGGAGTGGATGCTTTGTCTTCCCTCTGCTGCATTAGTTAGCGTCACTGGGACTAACCACCGGACAGAAGCAGCCTGAGGGAGGGAGGGTTCTCTCACAGTTTCAGAGGGTTCAGTCCGCAGAGGCAGGGAAGGCAGGGAGCAGAGCAGTCCATGTCATAGGTAGACGGCGCCCCCATGCTTCCTCAGGTAATCTGCTCTGGAAATACCTTCACAGACACCTAGAAGTGCGCCTCACCAGTCTCCTGTGACAGCCTAAATCCAGGAAAGTTGACGTGCTGCCTGCCAAGTGCCCAGGAAAACACCAGGCACTGCGGTGGGGGTGGGGGTAGCAATACCTGTTCCCTGAATGATTCATCCCAGGAAACTGAGGGAAAGGGTTCCCTCTCCACAACCCCTCATGCGTGATCTTCATCAATGGCATGATGTCCTCAACGGAGGAGGGCCAGCCATTGGCAGGAAATCAGCGGTGTGTTCATTCTTCTGTCTTTTACACATAGTGGGGGTTTTGGCAACTGTTGTTCCAACAGTTAGAAACTGCTTCAGAGAACACGCCTCCCCTCTGTCTCTGGGCACCTTCCTCAAAATGTCAGTTTGTGACCCAAAAGCAGGGACAGTCTTTCTGTGCGCCCAGCTGTGAGGGAATGAGTGACACCCAGCCTGCTCATTCAGTGGACAATCACCTTGCCAGTAATAAACAGACAGCCACAGTTTTCTGTGTCTATGTTGCACGTTATATAAAACATTAAGAGAAAGATTAATAGATTCTACACAGACACATGACAGCTTGTGCTATGGTAACATTCTTATTATTTACTTACCTAATTACTTATCTATTTATTAGCATTTATCTAATGAAGCGTTTTGTTAGTCATTTATCTGCGGCTTTGTAAGTTCTTGGCTTGCTTGTCTGCGTTAGGACTTGCACAGATGAAGCAGTGTCCCCTGCGGAATGCACCCTGCCTCGTGATATATTAACTTCTTGGACATGCCTCCCAGTGTTGGACTTACCAAAACTGTCTCGGTGGCTCAGGGTCATGGCTTTGCTCACAGCCGTGAGAAGGAAATTCCATTTTAGTTGGAAGCTGGCCGCCAGCTTCATAAACTCCTCTTTGCTCTTGCTTGGCTGTTTTTTTGTGTGTGTGTAAGAAGGAAAAAAGAAATGGTGTTTAAGATAAAATCAAGGAAATGCAGAGATGCACATATCTGTCAGGAGCAGACATCTTACAAAGGAAAAGGACAAAGATGAGGCGTTGGAGGAGGCAAACGACACAGCGGCTGTGAGGCTTTGGCCTTGTCTTTCTGTGTTTTGTTTTGTTGTGTGTCTCATGGAGGCCTGCTCTTTTCTGAAGGGAGATGAAGGGAGTGGACCTGGGGGAGGTGAGAGGAGGTTGGAGGAGGCAGGCGGAGTGGAGGGAGGCAAACTGTGGTTGGGGTGTACTTCGGGAGAGAAGCTATTTTCAATTTTAAAAAAATGAGGCAGAGGCCAGCAGGGGCCGTTTCTAGTATTGTGAGAAGGACAAAGCAGCTGCTTTTGCTGTTAGTCCTGACCCTTCCCTTGGACCTACAGACTTCAGATGAGTCCTGAGGTCAGGGTGACAGCTGGGCTCAGCACACAGCTGTTGGCACAGTGAGTGCCTCATAAGCAGGAGGACCTGAGTTCAGTCCCAGAACACGTGAGAAGAAAGAATCCAGCCAGCTGGGCCTACCGTGAGTTCTCGGCCAGGGAGGGACCCTGTCTCAAAGAACTGCCAGGGATGCCAGGGCTAGGCAGCAGAAACACGAGAGACCCTGCCTGAACCGCAAGATAGAAGACTCCTAATGTTGACCTCTGACCTCTACACACAGGCCTCACGTACACACATACACACCAGCCATCTGCCCCTGCCCACACTTTTTACAGTGTTTGCAGGGAAGCGGGAGGAGACTGTCTCAAGAGAAAAGGGGTGGACAGTGTGTGAGGCACACTGCTCCAAGGCTGTCCTTTGACCTGTGCTCACATCCACACCTCCACAGCGAGCACGAAGCCTGTCATCTCTGCTCTGATTTGCCTCGTTCAGCATGTAAGGTGGATACGGGTCTTGAGAGAAGACGGAACTCACGCTCTTCCCACAGACGGCAGCAACTTTCTTATGACGGACCATCCCATGCGGGACTAACCCCAGCCAGACCGCACCTTGATGGAGGCTGATCACCTATGTTCACTTCTCAGCCCCGCTCCCCCATCCTTCACCATCTAGTTCTGTCCCTTCCCTACATAATCCCTATAAAATCTCTACAATCCCTACAATCGGTAATCCTGAAACAGGGCTGAGGAGCCTGGTCCCATCTTTTTGGTATGTGTACAAGTGTGTATGCATGTGAGCGTGTGCAAGCAAGTGCATGCTGTCATGGTCAAGGTGCCGGCAGAGGGCACTGGAGTCACTGGAGCAAGAGTTACAGGCATGGAGTCGCCCCATGGGTGTGGGAAGTGATCGTGTCCTCTGAGGAGCATCAAGGGTCTCGCTGGGGCCCACCTTTCGCATTTGTTCTGCGGGCTGCCTGGCCAGACCTGGTTCTTTCAGATCAATGGAGTCCAGCCACCAGTGTGGCGGCAAGCTCGCTCCATTGCCTGTGGAGATAGTTGTGGAGCAGGGCTCTTTGGAGGGGTGGGGAGAAGCAGGCAGTAGGAACTGGCCTGATTTATTGTCAGTCCCCACACTATTTCAATATGAAGTCAACTGTGACAAATATTAAGAAAACTTTATGACAGGGTGTGGATGGGAACAGCTCTGCTCCCGACAGACCCTACGGATTCAGTCACACTACAGTTCTGTCACCAAGAGGAAACTAGGGCTTCTGTCTGACAAGACAGAGAGGTGGGAAGAGGTGAGGGGGAGAGAGGGTCACTAGCCAGGTCCTCAGCCCATAGCTCCCAGCCATGCAGCTTTGCGTGGCCTTTAATGGCCGCTGCCTCTTCATCCCCGCATCTTCCCAGCCCTGGCCTGTCTACACACAGTGCCGGCATGAAAGAAGGAGCCTCCTCCAGCTTTGAGGGCTGCCTCACTCGGGAACCATTCTCTGCTGAACCTGACTTTGTTGAGCTCATTTCCCTGAGGTGTTCCCTCAGGGGGGCCACACGGCAGATCTGGAGCAGCCTCGCCACTGCGCCCTGGAGAAAAGCTCCTGCTGGCGGCGACTGCAGACTGTCTGATGCCATGACTGACAGAACCCACAGCGCTGAGGCATGACGGGGCCTGTGTAGGAAACTCAGCTCTGGCTGTGTTCACGCCACTGAACGTCCAGCCTTGGTGAGCCCCTGCCCTGTGCCCAGCAGAACTCTGGCCCTCTGGTGGCCTAGGTGGCACTAGCGGGCTGCAGTAGGGTGCTGCCATGTGTAACTGGGGTGTTTGTGTACACCGAGAGAGGCACTGAGTCACGTGTGAACCACACCAGGAAGTGCTGTGAATTTTAAATGTGCACACTGGGTGAGACAGCGTCCCTGAGTCCCTTCCAAGCCTTAGTCACGTGCCCTTCAGCCCATGCTCGACTGGCAACTACCAGCCTCTGAGGGAAAGCTCAGCTGCAAACAGTGAAACGTCTTCTCTTTCCACAGAAAACCCACATACAAAGGCCTTCCCTACCATACTTCTCACCTCTGAGGGGAGGGGGCTCCCACTGGAGACCAGGAGTGGTGAAGAGAGAAGTGAGATCGAGGGTGAGGAACAGGGTAACTATAAAAACGCAGCAGTACAGTTATCTGTCTGTCTGTCATCTACCTGTTGTTTATTTTTACTTTTGAAGAGGGTCTCCTGTAACCGTGACTGGCCTTGAGCTTGGTGATGAATTTCTGGTCTTCCCACCACCTCTGGAGGCCGGGGTAACAGGTGTGCCACAGGTGTTACAGGTGTGTTACAGGTGTGCTACATCACACTAGGTGTAGCTTTATGGGGTGCTGGGGATCAGACCTCATCTACACTAGGCAAGTACCAACAGAGCCACAGCCTTGGTCCACAGTGGGGGTGCTTCCTAAAGGCAAGCGGAAGGAACTCTGGGGACCATGAGCACCAGTGACCATTTGCCACCACCACCGTCACTTCCTGCCTCTACATTTAGAAAGTATTCTCGGGCCCAAACTGCATGAGTGGGGAGCAGAGTTGGCCATGTTCCTCGGCCAGCCTCCTGCCGGATGCTAACAACCAAAGCTGTTAGTCACCCCTGACAAGGCCAGGGCTCCACCGACTGTTTCTAGGGACTTCTGCAGTTGTCAGAGTGAGTGAGCTACTGCAGTAACAAGCCCTCCCAAGGCATGTCCTTTATAGAGAAAACAGCACTGTTTTTCTTACCAGGGCTCATTGGTGAAGGCTGCAGAGAGGGTGGCGGAGACCAGTGGCACCTGGTGCCACGTGGTGTCATGAGGCTCGGAGTGTGAATGAGTCAGTCTGGCTGCTTAGAGGCGGGACTGGCACAAAAGATTTGGCTAAAGGTGGCGCTGGGTGAGTCAACAGAAACGAACAGACCCCTGAAAGCTGTATCACTGACCCAGTACAAGATCTCAGCCTCCAACACCCAGTACAGAATCTGGAACAATTATTATTATTACGTTTTTGTTTTACACGGGGTCTGGTTAAGTGCTGCAGGCTAGTCTTGAACTCATGATGCTCCTGCCTCAGCTTCTTAATCATGGGTGTGTACCCTCCTCACATAGCTTGGGCGATTATCTTATAAGAAGCAAAGAATGGGAAGAAAAATTGGAAAAGCCCTCCTGGCTCTTTCCTTAGGCATTTTTCTGGCTCATCTCTTGGAGATCTTGGTCAGGGCTACCAAGAAGGCTAGGCAGGGAGGGACAGGGACACGGTGGCAGGACATGGGAACAGGACATCGTGTGCAGCTCTTTTCCAGCTCTCAGGGTCCTGGTTCTGGCCTGCTCTTTTCTTCGTCATTCTTGATAGGCTCATGTCTGCCACGTTCTCTTCCTCAAAGCTCTGTCCCTCTCTTGGCTAAGACTTAAACACTATTTACCTTTCACATGTCCCACACTTTCCCCAAGGCCTTCTCTGTCACCGTGAAGGTGCTGAGATTCCATCTAAGTTCTAGTCCCCACTTAACAGGGACCACAGGCATGGCCCAGAGCGTCTCCCATGGCATTCTCGGCTTTTCATGCTGCCCACTTGGATGGTGATGGAAGTCAAGCCCAGGGCCCCAGTGAAAGGAGCCCCTGGAGGCTCACCACCATGAAAGAAATGGAGTCACAGCCACGGGCAGCCCCATCTACCTGGTGGTGATCCCAGGGGGGGG